AAATTGCCCCCGGGGTAGACCACACCCCAGTGATCAGCATGGCCCTCCACTTGCCTGTCCCAAATGGTTCCCACAGGGGCCCATACAGCACGTGGCCCTCCATGTCCGGCTTATCTTACTAACGTGGTTAAGATCGTCCACGTTGTAGCACAATCAGAGCCCTGCCTCTTCTTTTAATGCAATCCCTTCTCCATTCTTCTCTGTGGAGTTTGTGCAACCAGAGTGCCTAAAACTCTGGGTCCAGGATGGGAACCGTGCAGCTGGGGTCCAGTCGCTTAACCGTCATGCCACCAGCTGACCCAAACATCTTTTCTTTTCTCTTTTCTTTTTTCTTTTCTTTTCTTTCCTTCTTTTTCCTTTCCTTTCCTTTCCTTCTTTTGTTTTAAAACAGATATTTGCTACAGGGTGCATGTGCTTGCTAGAGACAGAGAAGGAAAGTGAGAAACTCCCCGAGGGGAATACCATACGGTAATCCCTTCTTTATTCTCCTCTCAGGATTTTGGGCATGCACATGCCTGGCGTGAGTTTCATGCTGCTGGGTCCGGGACTCCAACTACAGTTGGCCATGTAGGAATCTAGCACCACAACCACTCCTGCCACCTGTTGCCCCTCTTTTCTCTCTCACTCTCTCTCTCTCTCTCTTTTTTTTTTTTTTTCTTTAGGATGTGTTTTTTTTTTGCTATAGGATGTGTGCACTCACTGGAGAGAGAGAGAGAAAAAAAGAGGGAAAGTGAGAAATCACCCCCCCTTGGAGGGATGCCCACACCCCAATCCCTTCTCCATTCCCCTCTCAGGATTTTGGGTTTACATGCACCCACGCCCTGCATTATTTTTCAAGTTGCCAGGCCCAAGATTTGAACTGTGAAATCAGTCTTGTAGGATCAAGTGCCTTAACCACCACACCACCACTGGGCTAAACTTTGTTTCTTTTCTAATACCCCTTGTAGACTGGCTACAGTCCGTTTATCCAGTCCGCAGTAGTGACACTTGGGTTGCCCCACCGTTGGCTCCCATGACTAGTGCTACTCTGAGCACAGGGTACCTGTGTGGGTCCCTTTCTCAGTTCTGGGACACACACTCGAGTGGAATTGCTAGGCCATGTGGCCGGTCTATGACTGCACTGAAGAACTGCTGAACTTCCCGATGGATGCACTTTCTACATGCTTACAAGAATATATGAAGATTCTAATTTCCCCACATCCCCTTCGACACTTAATATCTCCTTTTTTTTTTTTTCATAATAGTCATTCTAACAAATGTGAAATTGTATCTCGTTGTTCTGATCTGTAATTTCCAAAATGTGGGAGGCTGCGCACCAGCGAACATCACTGGTTTCTCAGAAAGCAAACAATTACACAATGCCTAAGACCACAATTGGTTCCCTTCAAAAAACCTGACCTTCGAAACCATACTCTGATTGGTCACTAGAATCCCTCAGATTTGCATATCCGGCACCTCATGATTGGTCCAAAAGCAACCAATCATAGCCCACCTTTTACAACCAATCATAACCAACCTTTTACAACCAATCACGGCCCACCAGCATGTATATAACCACCGATGCCTGGCCCATAATCGCCAGACAACCAGGAGGAGGACACAGACAACCAGGAAGACGACCCTGAAGACCCTGAGGAGCTGACACCACGTCGCCTCCAGACGACCCTGAAGAGTTGTGACACCGCGTCGCCTCTGTGCTGCTCACAATAGATGTGACCCTGAAGAGTTGTAACACCATGTCGTCTCCATGCAGTACTGTGCTGCCCACAATAAATGGACGACCCTGAAGACACCGTGTTGTCTCCGTGTTGTAACACTGCGCCGCTTGTCCCGGCTCTCACTCCTTCCCTCAGGAAACCTGTTCGACTGTCCCTCCAGGTCGGGACACCAAAGGTCTAATGATATTGAGAATTCTTTCTTGAGATTATTGTCCATTTGCATATCTTTTTATTCAGAGAGAGATTTTTGCTATAGGGTTCATGCACTCGCCAGAGAGACATAAAATGAGAAATCACCTCCCAGGGGGATGGCCACACTGCAATTCCTTCTCCTCCATTCTCTCAGGGTTTTGGGTATGCACGCACACATTCCTGGTGTGAGTTTTAAGCCACCAGGCCTGGGACTTGAATCGTGGTCAACTACATGGGAGTCCAGTGACGTAGCCATTATGCCATCTGCTGGTCCCTTGCATATCTTTTTTTGAAGAAAGGTATGTTCAAGTCTGTTTTGTATTTGGGTTTTGTCGTTGAGTTTTAAAAGTTCTTTATATATTCTGTATATCAGACCCTTTTCAGAGATATGATATGTAAATATTTTCTCCCATTTGCTGGGTCTTTTCACTCTTCAGTGAGTATCCGTCAAAAACAAAAGTCTGGGGAACCAGCAGTTGGCGTAATGGCTATGTTGCTGGACTCCCACATAGTCGACCGCGGTTCGTGTCCCGGACCCGGTGGCTTAAAACTCACGCCGGGCGCGTGTGCGTGCGTGCCCAAGATCCCGAGAGGAGAATGGAGGAGAAGGGATTGCGGCGTGACCATCCCCCCTGGGGGGTGATTTCTCGCTTTCTGTCTCTATGTCTCTCTCTGTCTGTCTGGTGAGCGCACGCGCCCTACAGTGAAAATCTCTCAAAAAAAAAAAAAAAAAAAAAAAAGGAGAGCTCACCTCTCCACTTAAAAAAAAAAAAAAAAGTCTGAAATTCTGATGAAACTCAATCTATTTTTTTTAATTGCCAGAGGGTCTGTGTACCTCCTCAGGAGAGAGAACCCCCCAACGGGATGTGGTCACAGCTCAGCTCCTTCTCCACCCCATCAGGATTTGGGACATGGGTGCACATGTGCCTGGCATGTTTTTCAAATTGCTGGGGCTGGGATTCAAACTGCAGTCAGCCATGTGGGACTCGGCTCCCTTAACCCCTAGGCTACTTAACATGTTACCAGTCCACATCTATTTTTTTTTTTTCCTTCTTTTTTCTCTTTTGTTGCCTATGTCACTATGGCTGGGCCAGTTTGCTAGTATTCTGTCAGGCATTTTTGCATCTATATTTATAGGGGTATTAGCCTGTAGTTTTACAGTGTCATTCTGGCTTTGAATTGGGGTAATGCGAGCCTCACAGAATGAGTTAGAAGTCCCCCTTCTGCTTCAGCTTCTTGTTTGAGAAGGGCTGGCTTTAACTTCTAAATATCTGCCACAGCTCCCTGGGGAAGCTTCGAGTCTGGAGCTTCTCTTTGTTGAGAGCCTTTGGATTATTAATGAATTCTCCATACTTGTCATAGGTCTATTCAGATTCTTTCTCTTCCTTCCTTTCTTTTTCTTTCTTCTTTTCTCTTCTTTTTCTCTTTCCTTCTTTCTCTTTCTTTCTTTTTTGTTCTCTTTTTGTTTTTCTCTTTCTCTTTTTCTCTTTCTTGTTTTAATTTCCTATAGGGCGTGTGCACTCACTAGAGAGAAGGAAAATGAGAAAGCACCCTGGGGATGCTGCCATACGCAGTCCCTTCTCCTCCATTCTCCTCTCGGGATCTTGGGCACACATGCACACGCACCAGGCATGAATTTAAGCCACTGGGTCCGGGACTCGAACTGCAGTCAACTACATGGGAGTCCAGCAACATAGCCATTACGCTTTTTTTTTTTTAGTCAATCTAGCTAAAGACTTGTCTATTTTGTTGATATTTTCAATGAACCAACTTTTTCCCCCTTAGTATTCTTTATTTTTATATTCTCTATGTCACTTATATTCACATTAATCTTTTGTTGTTTGTTTTTGTTTTTGTTTTTGCTAGAGGGTGTGTGCATTTGCCAGGGAGAGAGAATAAGACATCACCCCCTAAGGGAGATGACTGTGCTGTCCTTCTACTCCCTCTTGGGATTTGGGGCACATACACACACACACCCAATGTGATTTTCAAACTGCTGGGTCCAGGACTTGACCTTTGCGGTTGGCCATGTGAGCTCTATCACCCTAACCTACATGCTATCTGCTGCCCCACATGGGTCTTTGTTACTTTCTTTCTCCTGCTACCTTTGATTTAATTCACTCCACCCCCCTCCCCACTTAATCTGGCATCTATTGGAACATTTAGGAAGACATATTTATTTTTCTTTTTTAAAAAAGATATTTGCCATAGGGTGCATGACAGATAGAGACAGTGAGAGGGGAAGTGAGAAGTTCCTCCCTGGGGGGATGACCATGTCACAATCCTTTTTCCTCCATTCTTCTCCTGGGACTTTGAGCATGCACGCACATGCACTCAGTGTGGTTTTCAAGCTACCAGGTCTGGGACTTGAGCTGTGGTCGACCACGTGGGAGTCCAGCCTCTTAACCACTGTGCCACCTGTTGGTCCCCATACTTCTTTTTTGACGAAAGTCTGTTAGATTGCTGGTTGACTGTAGAAATATTGAAACAGAAACTTCAGTGACTACTCAGTAAGGGATATGGTCTCTGCAAAAACAGTTTAAAAAACTCATTATACTGTGAACTGTTTGAGCCTCCAGGAAGCAAAAATCAGAAATTTGTGAGGAGGGAGAGAATCTGACTTTCAACACAAAATTACAAAGCACACAAATAAGAACCACCTCTGAAGATGCCTAGACACTAGAGTTACTGGACAAAAATATTACATGAGCTACCTTAAATATGCTCAACAACCTGGGAAATACACCAGCCAGTGACAGGAAATCAAGAGGTCAAGGTATGAACGAAAGGCAAAGTCGTTAAAAATGTAAGTTACAGGAAGAAACAGAGAATCTGGGGCTGAGACGAAGAATTCAGAGGAGACGTTGGGCATTGGGCTTGAGCACATCAAAGCAAGGATCACTGAGCTCGAAGACGTGGCAATTGAAACGACCCACTCTGTGGAGCAGAGGAAGATGGACAGGAAGACTGGAAAACCTGAGGGGCACCGTTAAATGTACCAATATACACGCTATGGGAATTTGGGAAGAAGAGAGAGAGAGAGAGAAAAAAAACATATAAGACACATAGAAAACAAACGACTAAATGGCAAAAGAAGAAAAAAGGTTTTTGAAGGAATAATATTCCCACCCCACCCCCCAAATTTTTTGAAGCACATAAATTATATATCCCAGAATCTCAACAATTTCTTTTTTTCTTTGGAGAGTTTTTTTGTTACAGGGCACGTGCGCTCGCCAGACAGACAGAGAGAGAGAGACAGAAAGCGAGAAATCACCCCCCAGGGGGGATGGTCACGCCGCAAACCCTTCTCCTCCATTCTCCTCTCGGGATCTTGGGCACGCACGCACACGCGCCCAGCGTGAGTTTAAGCCACTGGGTCTGGGACTCGAACCACGGTCATCTATATGGGAGTCCAGCGAAATAGCCATTATGCCAACTGCTGGTCCCAGGATCTCAACAATTTCTAAGCAGGATAAACTGAGAGAGCCACACTGGGAAACATTATTGTCAGATTGCCAAAAGAAGAGGCTATGAAGAGGGCAGCCACCCATCAGGCGTGAGTGGGGTTTTGGGCAGGTTTCTCAGCAGAAGCCTAGGAGGCCAGGAGTGCCAGGTGACAGATCTGAGGTCCTGAAAGTAAGCACGCCTGTCAACCAAGGATCCCATATTGGGGAGGGAAAAGTATCTTTCAAAAGAAATCAAGATATGTCGAGGTAAATGAAAGTTCAGGGCTTCATTCATAGCAGACCTGCACTACTATCAAGAGAAATGCCGGAGTCCTGGGGACGGGGACGAAGGGGTGGGAGGCAGTGCTCGAAGCCACTCGAAGAAATAAAGGACACCAATGAAAGTGGCTGCACAGGAAAACGCAAACGAGGGTTATGGCAGCCAAGGCTCGCAACTCCTGTTATTTCCCCATGTGCTTGGGAAGGCAGAGTCTCAAGCCATCGTTGCCAACCCACGTTAGCGGGCACACTCGACACAGAGAGCGCCTGTGTGCTGGGGAGTACAGCAGGGCACTTGCGTACTAGTAGTAGTGTTAGTAGTATTAGTAGTAGCAGTAGTAGTAGCAGTAGCAGGTTGGTATCGCTTCAGACCAGGGCTGTGGAAAGGCTGTTTGTGTTTTCAGGTAGGGTCTCATGGCGTCACGACCCTCGGACGCTGCAGACGAGGCCTCACTGCCGCGAGTTTGCCAGCTTGTCTCAGCTTTCAGTGTGCGCCGGGACGCCCGGCCCTTTCGGCGGGCCAGGAATCAAGCGCAGCCTCCTGTGGGCCTCAGCCTGCTGAGTACTGTCTGCCAGCACGTGTGATGCAGCGTGGGCTGCACTCTAGGTTTAATTGTGACCCCAGAGTGACCACTAAGAATGTGAAGGGCTGATACACAGAAAGGGAAGGCAAAGGGGATAAAAATGATGCGTTATAAAAAATATCAGAAAAGGCAGCAGTGGAGGGCCAGCAGACAGCCATAGTGGTTAAGTTGCTGGACTCCCACATGGCCGACTGCAGCCCGAGTCCTGGACCCAGCAGCTTGAAACTCATGCCAGGCGCGTGTGTGTGTGGGCTCAAAATCCGGAGAGGAGAATAGAGGAGAAGGGATTGCAGCATGGGCATCTCCCCGGGAGGTGATTTCCCACCTTCTCTCTCTCTGTGTCTCTAGCAAGTGCATGTGCCCTATAGCAAAAAATCTCTCGGGGGGTGGGGGGAAGGAAGGCAGCAATGGAGAGATTGGGGAGACGTGTAAGACACATGCCTGCTATTTTGCCCCCATGACCATCTTGGGCTGGCACACATGCCCTAAGGCAAAAGCCTCTAAAAAAAAAAAAAAAAGAAAATGAATGACTAAATAGCAAAAACTGGTCCTTTATCAGTAATTAAGTGCATTAAACTTTCCAAGTAAAAGGCAGAGGTTGGCAGAATGCCTTAAAAACGACCCGTCTGCATGCCGTGGACGAGAGTCAGGGCTTGAACGCAGAAGCTGGAGCAGGGCCTCACATGGAAACGGCAGCCGGAAGACTGGCAGCAGCCTTACGGTACTTCCCAACGAAACGGGCTTCATGTCGAGCGCTCTCAAAGACAAGCGATCAGTTATCTCGAGAGCACATACAGGAGGGTGGCACTCGTCTGGGTAACATGAACAGGAGACTCCTCCTGCCTGCGATCTCGGAGCCGGTTGCCGGCGGTGCTCGCTGCAGTATAGCTAGCTCTTGCCAACTCTCAAAGCTGTCATTGTGTTTTCTCTTTTCCCAGAGTTTCTTTTTCTTCCCCATAGAGTGCACACGCTCACCAGAGAGAGATGGTGAGAGGGAAAATGAGAAATCACCCCCTAGGGAGGATGGTCACGCCACAATCTCTTCTCCTTCATTCTCCTCTCAGGATCCTGGGCATGCACGCACACGCGCTCGGCGTGAGTTTTAAGCCACCAGGTCCGGGACACATACCGCGGTCGACCACATGGGAGTCCAGTGACATAGCCATTACACTAACTGCTGGTTCCCACCACAATCCCTTCTTCACTCTCCTTCTGGATCTTGGTCACATATGCCCGGTGTGAGTTTCAAGCCACCAGGTCCAGCACTCGAACTGCGGGTGGCCATGTGGAAGTCCAGCAAGGTAGCCACTACACCGTCTGCCGACCCCTGTGTAATTACTCTGCTTTGTGGAGAGGACTCCCCGGCTAGGCAGGGGACCTTGCTTTCCATTGTTGATCCCAATAGTGTCCACTGGCGCCCTCTGTCGTTCAGGTGTTGGCATAAATGTCGCCCCAGACCTGCCTGCTCTTCTGCCCGGTGACCACCACCTTCCCCTTTACCCTGCTCTTTCCTTTTTTCCTTTTAGGAGATTTTTGCTATAGAGCACGTGCATCCACTGGACGGAGAGAGACAGAGAAAGTGAGAAGTCACCCCCCGGTGGGATGGCCACGCTGCAATCTTTTCTCCATTTCCTCTTGGGATTTTGGGCACACACACACACACACATGTGCTTGGTGTGTGCTTCAAGCCACCAGGTCCAGGGCTCCACCGCGGCTACCACTCAAACTGCGGTCGATGAGGCCCCGTGCCTTAACTGCTGTGCACTGGCTGGCCCTGCCCTGCTCTTCCTGAGCCCTGAGCAGCAATCTGTCCTAGAAAACTACTCATTTTTTTAACGTTTTTTGTTTTTCCCCATCGGGTGTGTCCACTTGCCAGAGAGAGATAGAGGGGAAGTGAGAAATCACCTCCAAGGGGAAAATGGCCACACCAGAATCCCTCCTCTGGTCTCCCAGGATTCTGAGCACACACAAGCACAAGCACCTGGCATGATTTTCAAGCCACTGGGTCTGGGACTCAAGCCGTGGTCAGCCATGTGGGAATCCAGCGCCTTAACAACCGCACCACAGCTGGCTCTGAAAAGACGCTCATCGTTGACATGTGCCCTCCCTGCTGCCTCGGCAGGGACCAGCCTGCTTCGCTCTCTGAGAGTGGACATCTGTCGGGCAGCTCAGCCTCGCCATGGCCAGACGCTAGCTTCTGCTGCCCCCGGCCCTGCTCTGCACCCGGCCCATCTCAGCTTCCCCACGCCATGCGCCGGAGCCCCAGTGGCCAGCTTCCCCTCACCTGCCTCCCTGCCACTCCTGCGAGGTAGTCGGGTCCAGCCTCTATAGCCTCTGCCCCAGATCACCTCACCTGAGGCTTCCAGGGAACACTCATGTTAATGCAACCCCTCCCCCATGCACTCTGCCTGGCCGGCTGCAGATGGTCCAGACAGGCCCTTACCTGGCCTGCCCGTTGCTGTCTCCCCCACACAGAGGTCAGCTCCACGGTATGCCGGGGGCTGCCTGGCTACTGAGCATCCCAACCAAGAAACCCCTCTGGCCAGGCAGGCCCAGGTGGGCAGGGTCCCCGTCAGTGTCCTTTGGTCCTGGTACAGGGTCAGTGCTGGGGTGAGGGGCTCCACACCTGTCTCCCGGGTGAATGAGCGAAGCACATAGACACACGAGGGCCCCTGGTTACATTGTGGGTCCCTGCCACCTCCCTGGCCCACTCCATCCGGGCCCCAGACTCTCAGCACAGTTCCCGGGCAGGGGTGGCTTGGTGGGATGGGGGTTCTGGTGGTGGAGGGTGGTATTCCTGGCCAAGGCTGTGGGGCCCCTGGTGAGGTTCCTGGCCCCTGACCGGAGGGGGTGGCTGGCCAGTCCGGGACCAGGCACTGAGAGCATCCATTGGGGCCAGCGCCCACACTGGTGGCGCAGGTACTCCTCGTCTCAGCTCCTGGGGCTGGGCATCACCTGTGTCTGGGCCACAGGTTCCCCACCCACGGCTGGCAGGACTATGATCAGCTAGAGGGCGCCCAGCCCCCGCCTCTGCAGCCCGGGCCCCCTGGCCGGGTAAAGGGCAGGAGGAGGGAAGCAC